AACAACAACAACAACAACAGGCCCTGTGGGAGCTCTGGTAATAGACACAGTGGTTAAGGCATCCAGCTGCTAACCAAAAGGTTGGAGGTTCAAACCTGTCAACCGCTCACAGGAGAAAGATGGGGCAGTCTGCCTCCATAAAGATTTACAGCCTTGGAACCCTATGGGAAGGGGAGGAAACACTGCAAAAATAAAAATAAAATAAAGATTTACAGCCTTGGAAGCTCTATGGGGCAGTTCTATTCTGCCCTGTAGGGTCACTGTGAGTTGGAATCAACTCGATGGCAGTGGGTTTTGGCTTGGTGGACCCTGTGCAGAGTCCCTGGGAGGCACAAATGATGAAACACTTGACTGCTAGCTGAAAGGTGGGCGGTTTAAACCCACCAAGAGACACGTCAGAAGAAAGACCTGGCAATTTGCTTCCAAAAGGTCACAGCCTTGAAAACCCTGTGGAGCACAGTTCTGCTCTGAAACCCTTAGGGTCACCAAGGGCAGAACTGACTCAGAAGGAGCTAGGTCTTTTGTGGGGTTGGGCCCCATGTGAGGAGCAGCATGCGTTGGTTCATCTGACCCTCTGCCAGGCAGCCGTCGGGTGTGACTGACTGTGCCTCCGAAATCTCTGCATCCCCGCCCTCCTCTCCATGCCCACCCTCCTCTCCATGCCCACCCTCCTCTCCATCCCCATGCGCTGCCTTGGTGCTCGCGGCCTCACATACCGGCTTTCTGGCTAGCCTTCTGACTTCCTGTCTTCCTCCCTCCACCCTACTCCCCACATAAAGTACAGATCTGTTGCTTCTCTACTTAGAGCCTTCAGGGTAGAATCGAGGCTCCAGTGAGGCCCAGCCTGACCTGGCCCTGCCTGCCTCCCTGGCGTCATCATTGGCCTCTCGCCCTCACACTACTATAGGCCATCCTTGAGGCCTGGGCCTCAACATGCCCTATTCCTGCAGGGCTGGTTGAGGTATCTCTTTCTCCTGGAAGCTCTCCCTGCCTACACTGGGGTGCGAGGCCTCCTCTGCTCCCCTGGCACCCTGCACGTGCCTGAGGCCTATACCCACCACCCACCATTGCACCATGAGCCTGCAGGGTCAGGTGCTGTGTTCAGGCTTCACTTTCATGGCTTCACTGAATCTTCACCGAGAAACGGGCTTGTCCACATTTCCAGGTGAGAAAGTGAATGCATGGTCAAGGCCCCACCCAGGGTCACCTGGCCTAGCAGTAGCCGGGCTGGCTTTGGTCCCTGAGCTCTAAAAGGGGTGCCTTATCCACTCTGCTGTCATGTCCCCAGGGGGCACTTGGCTGTGTTTGTTCAATGATGGGGAGCGATCGTCCTCCAGATTGGAAACGTAGGCAGGCCTGGAGCTGCTACACTCTCTCAGGGCTACTCTGCAGGTCACAGAGTGCCATCCTAGATGGTGGGGTTGCAGGTGGTCGTGTCTCCCCTCACAGGGAATTGTGGTGGACGTGCCCTTCGCCTCCTTCTTCCTGAGCCAGCTGCTTGGGCACCACCACAGCGTCTTCTACAGCTCTGTGGACGAACTGCCTTCTCTGGACTCAGAGTTCTACAAAAACCTCACTTCCATTAAGGTCAGTGTGGAAGGTGGCTGGCCAAGCAGGCAGCTAGTAGGAACTCCTGCCAGGGTAGCTTTGCCCTGTCCGAGTGCTTTGGAATGAGCCTGCCTGCCCTCCCCAGTGTTGTGGTGAAGGACTGTCAGGCCACGTCTTCCACTGTGGGCTCCCTTTGAGGGCCACAGACCAAGTCTCCTTAATCAAGGGGATGAGTGGCCTTTGCCTATGCTTCAAGCTGTTAACCCCACCAAATGAGCACCACATGGGGGGAAGGGTTACATTCTTTAGTGTAATGTTTTTCACAGTGGCCTGTCAGCCTCACCCTTTTCCCCTTCTCTGTTGCATTAGCGCTATGACGGGGACATCGCTGACCTGGGTCTGACGCTGTCGTATGATGAAGACGTGATGGGTCAGGTCAGTCATCTCTGCCTAAGGGCTTCTCTCTCCATTGGCTTCCTGAGACCTGCCCAGGCTTGGGGTTTCCCTAGGAAATCCAAACAGTGAGGATCTGTCTGCCCTTCCTTTCCCCTCAGCCTTCCCCTCCTCTTGCCTCGTACCCCTTTCCTTCCCAGTTGACCTGCAGCTGCCTGCTCACCTATTGAAGAGTTCCCTACAGAGACCCTGCTTTGCTTCTCTGCCATCTTAGCGTAGTTCCTGATGCAGGCCCTAATTTCCCATTTGTAACATTGCTTCTCGTTACCATGGTGAGGATTGGTTGTTACAAACGGATAATTAGGACTTAAAGAGGGGAAAGAAGCCACCCGAGGAGAGGTGCCTCTCGCAGAGTCCTGTGCGCATTCACGCTGGTCGTCCAGAGCAGGGCAGGACAGAGAGGCCCTTGGAGGTGTGGCTGCAGAGGCTGTCTTCGCAGAGGGCTTCCTCCAGGCTTTTCTCTGAAGTGTCCTCGCTCCCTCAGTCATGTCCCAGTGGAGGGCCGTCTGCCTGAGCCTGTGTGTGTGCATGGTCCCAGGGCTGCTCTGAGAAACCGCACCATGAGCTTAGCAGTGCAGAACCACTGTCACCTCAGGGACGTCACTCGGGCTCCCTGAGCCAGCTGTCCCCACCTCAACACTTCTGGGTTACTTGTCAGACCTAGGTCCTTGAGGGGACCGGTGTGACCAAACACTGTGTGTGCAGCTGGGAACTCCCTGCATGCAGTCCTCCCACTGAGGGACCATAGAGCAGCAGGGGTCCAGGGGCTCTGAGAACTCAGGAAAGAAACCCTAGTTGAGTTTTCACCTCCAGGTCCCCAGCTCCTGTGACCACAGGTCTCTTTCAAAGAAAGAAGAATGATACCTCACAGGGTCGTCCTGTGAGCACCGGTGCACCACAGGGCACTCAGGGTACTCCTGGAACACTTTGGGGATCGCTGGGCTGGATGCTTTGCTGGGGCCCTTCCAGCTGGAAAATCCTCTGGCCATACTGAGCTGTGATAGCTGCAGAGTGCCAGGTCTTTTTCTCTTCCTACGTCTCTTGAGTTACAGTGTATTATTAATAAGACTCCTATTGAAATAAGCTTGAAAAGTGTGCATCCTCTCATGTGCTCTTCTTTTGGGTGTAGCAGTGTTTCGTTCTGTCATACACAGGGTCATGATAGGTCAGAACCATCTGAACAGCACCAAGCAGCAACATTTCATGAGCATTTCAGTGCCACAGGCTGTTGTGCTGAGCACTCTGCACTCACTGTATCTTTTTCCTTCCTTTGTTTCTGTGGTAAAGATACATATAACAAAACAATTGCCTTTTTCAACACATCCTTGGATTTTTAGGTCAAACCTGCCCACATCATATTTGCCCACAGAAGTCGTCTTGAAATTTTTTTTTTTTTTTTTAATTGTGATCTGGGTGAAAATTTACAGAGCAAATTCACTTTCCATACAGTTCATATAAACTTTGTCTCATGACATTGACTACAATTTCCCACAATGCAACAGCTCTCTTTCCACTTCCTCCCCATAGTTAACTCTTCCCTGTGTCCATCCCTCCATGCACTTCTGCCTCCTGAGCTGTCTGCCTGGGCATAAACAGTCCTTCTTTCTCCCATGATTGTTCTCTCCAAGGAGTGTATCTACCTCAGGTAAACGTTCACCTCATATGCCTGTCTTTTGTTTGGCTGGAAGCCACAGGTGTGGGTTCAATTCCAGACCTGAAGAGCAGCTAGGGGCCGTAGTCTCAGCGTGTCTACCAGGCACTATCAGAGTGGTCTTGGAGTTGAGAGAAGCACTTGATTTTACAGAGCATTCAGATAACTAGTCCATCAGCTTTGGAGCTCTCTTCCCAACGTGCTTTTTAAAAATAAAATTATATTTTTTCCCCCAGAATATCAAAATAATGCAAGCTCCCAACAGAGAATTCAGCTGTAAGAGCATACAGGTGAACGTGAACACCACTTGCAACGCCAGTGCCCAGCTGGTGCCCCTGTTAACATATTGTTTGCGCCCTTCTAGGTTTTGCCCCTGGGCATGTATGTCATTTTCCTCCCAGGAAGTGATACCACACAATGTATACTGTTACCTGGTCTGCTCCCTCCACCTTTCCCATCATCTTTGTTAATAGCTGCACAACGTTCCAGTGTGTGGACATACCAGGGTTCCTTTATGCAACCTAATGTGTGCTAATAAAAGTCAGCATGTCCCCTTCCTGATGTCCTGCAGCCTTAATGCAAACATTCAAACAAAATCACGTGAGGTACCTCGATGTGTAAGATTGGCTTCTTGGGGAAAATGGTTGCCCCATACACACGCCGTCTGACCTCTGTCATTGCTGTGGACGCTCGTGTCAGGCTTGTCCCATACACACGCCGTCTGACCTCTGTCATTGCTGTGGGCAGTTGTGTCAGGCTTGTCCCATACACACGCCGTCTGACCTCTGTCGTTGCTGTGGACACTCGTGTCAGGCTCTTCATCTTCCAGAAGCTTTGTTTCCCCATTAAGATTCTCTCCAGTAATTACTCCCCGTCTTCTCCTTCAGCTTGTTTGCCACGAACTGGTTCCTGGAGGGAAGACCATTCCTGTTACAAATGAAAACAAGTGAGTATAGCAATTAGATTTTTAAGGTCACCACTTGAAAAGACTCCACTCTGGCTCTTGGGCCTTTTGCTGAGAATTTATTAAGATAGATTGAAGCAGAAGGAGGCCATAAATATCATAATGGAATTTCCTGGTTACAGTTCATAGGCAGAAATTGTACTGAATTCAATTTTCAGAATAAGAATTGACCATTTATTTTTGGCAGTTGCACATCTAAGGTCAGAGGCACTGGGCACTGTATTCGGGCTCATTTAATGATGCCCCTGGATGCAGGCAGATGGAGCCAGGGCCGCTCAGGCTTGCTGTCCTCGACATGGCACACAGGCAGAAGCACACCTTGGAGAGGCAGGCTGTTGTAGGGTGACAGCATGTGGCAGTTGTGTGGAACACAAGGGAAGGCCCAGCGACAACCTCATTTGTAGTCAACAAGGCCCTTAGTCGTGGGGAATCGAGACTGAGCCCAGCCACTGTCATCACAGATAACGGACTTCTGGGAACCTATTACAGATGCCACCCTTTTCACTCTAGAGTCAAAACCCTCCAAGACACTGTCCACCTGGCCCTCTTCTTACCTAATTAACCAACAGAGCCTGGCATGAGGAGTAGTTCCTGGCCATTTTGTCACCCTGTCTCCCTGTGGCCAGGCTCATCCGAGCATCTGAACTGTTCATCTGAGCATCACTGATGGGAAGCGAGAGCTCAGTCCTACCTGGGGAGTCATTGGGTCAGCCATACGTCACAGGCCACTTTTCTCAACCATCGCAGTCCTCAGGCCTCGGTCAGCCTGCATGCATGTGTTTCAGATTTCAGACTTTCAGAATAGTCAAGAGAATGGTCTGTTCTCATCATGATTAAAATATGCAGACTTTACCCCCTTGGCCACAGGGCACGAGTTTGAAAACCTAGAAGGGGCAATGAGCTCAGGTTGGAGGGGAGGCCAGCATCAGAGAGCAGAGGTGAATCCTGGTCCTGCCCACCCTGCTGCCTGGAGCCACTCTGAGGCTCTTCCCCAGGCTGTGACATGGGGCTGAGCCTGAGATGACACATGTAGGACCCCGACTGTGCTATCTGGCTCACAGAGGGGGCTAGTAAACAGGAGCAGAGATAGTCCCCATCACCAGATAAGTGGCATGTCACAGAGCCCTCCACCCTCAGGGAGACTGCATTTCGCCAGACACGCTGGCTGGAGGTGATAGCCAGAGCTGTGGGGGGGGCAGCCAGAGGAAGTAGGCTGGTGCAGGCTGTGTTCATGGGCGAGGTCCCTGGTCTGCCCTGAGACCTCCTGTGTGGAAACTCAACAAAGTCTTGCGTGTGCTTAGCATAACCTTCAAGGCCATGGCTGATTAACTCAACATGCTTGGTGACACCAGTTCCCCTCACGAGGGGTGTTATCTGGTCTTGCGCCTGCTGGGTGTTGGAGGGAAAGTTCTCGGGCTCGCTCACTCTTCTGACAAAATAGAGCAGTACTCCTAACCCAGTATACTAACCTGCTTCAGAGAGCACACGAGAAGAGTTAACAGCGATAGAAAAACTCGCATGTGTGTGCTACACATATGCTACTGGATCATAAAAAAATAAAAACGGGTGCTTCCCAGGTCAGTAACATAGCAGAGCATTTACGTGGAACCTGTGAGGCTTGTCCCCAGCCTTGGCTCTAGTTCTTCAGTCTCTGAATAAATGGTTCACTGAGAGACACCAGGGCTGGCGAGACTGCTGCAATGTATTTAACCTGTTCAAAGGGGCCAGTCATGGGTGACACTGTCATGTTCATACAAGCAGACCTCCAAGACCCGCAGCCAGCAATGGTTGTTATCAGTTGCTCTGACATCCCAGTTGAACTTAAATGAACTTAAACCCACCTGCCTTTGTGCAGGATGTCCTGCAGGTCCACCCTTTCCTGGCTATCAACTTACCCAGAAGGGCAAGGTTGGGAGTGACATTGCAAATGAAGCAATTTTCTCTCCACTTGAAAGCTGATGGGAGGCCTGGACTAGATCTGAATTGGTTTGGTCCAGAAGGATGAGATGAAAAAAGACTGCAAAAGCAGTCTTTGTACCCTTGGACCTGGAGCGTGTCTCACTCCAATTCTGGGTGCAGTGGGTGACCCTTGAGGTCAGGCTCTGGGTTGTAGGGTAATGTCTGAGGGACTTGGATGCATAGGGCTGGCACACTGACATTCCAGGGTGCTGTCATTGTTTCACTGTTGGCATCATTTGGGTGAAATGCTCTGGGACAAGGGGTATTGGTGTAAGACAGTTCACCCTTTATATGTATATGTGTATATATTTTTTCTTTTTTTCCCCCCCTTTTATTCCTTTTAACCTATCTAGCAGTTTTCCCTCTCCTTCCCTCCCATTCCTGGTAACCAGCAAAGAAAGTTTCCTTCCATATGTAAACTTTTCCTTGACTTTTTACAGTAGTAGGCTAATACAATATCTGCCTTTCCATGGTTGACTTATTTCACTCAGCAAGTTCGTCCATGTTATGCAGTGTTTTGATCATTCTGCGTTGTTTTAGTGTTGCACAGTATTCCATTGTGTGTATGTACCACGGTTTGGTTATCCATTCCTCTGTTGACAGGCACTTAGGTTGTTTCCATCTCTTGGCTGTTGTGAATAGGGCTGCGATGAACGTAGGGATGCGTATAGTTCGTCCTTTGTGAGTCTTCTCTCAGCTGACTGGTAACAGCCTGCTGTGCCCTCTTCACGTCCGTTGTTTTCTCTGCCTCATTAACAACAGAATCAGCTACATCCATTTGATGGCGCACTTTCGAATGCACACACAGATCAAAAACCAGACGGCTGCCCTCATTGGTGGGTTCCGTTCCATCATCAAACCTGAGTGGATCCGAATGTTCTCAACCCCCGAACTGCAGCGTCTCATCTCTGGGGACAATGCTGAGATTGACCTGGAAGATTTAAAGTAAGGGGACCGGGGAGGCAGATTCTTAGGCTGCCTAGAAAGCAAGCCGCCCTCAGACTGGGCTCTTTTAGGGCAGCTTCTTCAGCTGTCTGTCTCCCAGTATCCTCCTCCCCGTTCTGCTCACTCGAATTGCTTTCAGCCACTTGACTGAGAGAGAAGTGGAAGTGGGTCTTGAGGACTGCTAGGCTCCTGAAAGCTCAGCGTGGGCAGCTTCTGCTCCACAACAGCACGGCCAGCTCTTGACCTCTCCTACTGTTCAGCTTCCAGCGAGATGGGGGTGATTAAAGCTTGGGCTTGGGGCTATAAAGAGACGGGGTAGCGTCCCCAGGCCTGCCAGAGTTCAGGGTGCCCACGAGGCAAAACACGGTCCCTGCCGGTGGCAGTCGGTGAGCGCCCGCTGTCTGGCTCGTTTGCAGGAAGCACACGGTGTACTACGGCGGTTTCCATGGAAGCCACAGGGTCATCATCTGGCTGTGGGATATTCTGGCCTCCGACTTCACGCCTGACGAGAGAGCCATGTTTCTGAAGGTATTTTGTTTGTTTGTTTCTTGTGCCTGTGTTCATGCACATAGATACTCTTGTAAACCTAGGGCCAGCTGAGGAAATGATTTACGCTGGAAATAAATACAGGCACCAAGAGGACCATCTCTGTCATCAGCATAGCCTCCCCCACAGGCAGGCCTCATGGGAGGGCAAGCAGGAGCCGGAGAGGGGCTCGAGGGCAAAGCCCGAGTCAGATCAGCCCACCAGCCTGCTGTGCGCCCTCGCTGCAGAGACGGCCCTGGCGGGCTGGCGGGCTTAAGTGCTGCCTCCTTCCTCCGCCCCAGTGCTGTCCTTCCTGACACCTCTTTCCTTTGTTTTGTTTTGTTTACTGCCTTACAACCCTTTAAGTGATCTACGGTCTTCCTAACCAGGCCTACCTTTGTGCATCTTTCAGGCTGTTTTCTCATAAATGTAGAAACATGCACTTACAACACACACACACACACACGTATACATGTACGTGCACACATTTACACACACACAGTGTCCCAATGAAACACACAGTCGATGAGTGCAATGTGCAGGTGTGTTTTTGCAGGTTGAATGACTGCCAGTAACCACACCCCTGTTCCTTCATCAGTGTTCAAAGTGCCCCTCCAGTGGCACCACCTTATTTTGTAGTGCAGACATCACCAGGGTGTGAAGTATCTTATAGAGACACTATGTACGCATTATATAAGTGTGTGTTTTTGTAAAAATGGAATCATATCATTTTGCTACTTGCTTTTTCTCGAACAGTGTATTGTGAACATTTCACCATATTCTGGGCCAGATACAAGTGAATTGAAATATTTCCCTTTGGACATCTGTTTCTTGAACCTGGGTTCCTGTGACCTAGGTTGTAGAGGTGACGTGTTCACCGTCACCACCAGCTGAAATGGCAGCTGGTTTTCTGTCATCTTCATTGTCCTGAGGCAGCTTCATTCCCATTGAGAGGTCCTCAGTTCAGTCCCTCTGACAGAAATGTACTGATGGTCTGCAGTCTCAAGAGAGCCTGGTGGGCAGGCAGACGATTCTAGAGGTTGACTCTCGGGAGGACCAGCTCAATTGGGCCAGCAGTTTTGCCCCCCACAGGCAAACCAGTCTCTGCCGACTTGGCAAACAAAGCCTCCCACCTCTTCTAGAAAGAGAAGAGCCAGTGTCTCATGACTGCCCTCGTTACCCAGCACAGCAGGTGTTGGTGTCCTTGGACACCTCCACCAAGCCTGCAGTCCTTATCTCATGCCTGCCTGTCTCTGGAGCTGCAAACAGGACACGGAGCGGCTGGAGGAAGTTGAACCCTCATACGGGGATGCACGTGGCTGTGCTTTTGAGAATGCAATGATGGCAGTGCATCCAGAGGCTTCCCGCACCCTCCGTTCCGCCTCCTGCCCCGGGGAAAGTGCCCCTCCCCTCTGCCACCCCCCATGGTGGCGGGGCAGCAGGTCTGAGAGCACCCTGCATTGTGGTGTGCATAGGCCCTCCCAGGGCTACCAGGCCCTTTCTTGCAGCCCTACGCATTCCAGACGGCCGTGTGCACACCATCTCCTCCCTGATGCCACACCTGCAGCAGCCTTGCTCTCTGCCCTCAGGGTGGGAGCCCATCAGGCCCCACAGAAAGACGGGGACCCCGTGGCTGGGGCGGAGCAGCCAGTTCCTACCTCTGTGTGTCCCCCCCATCAGGCCTTACCCTCCTGCAGCGCCTGTTCAGCTAGCGCAAGTGCCAGACCACCCTTCTCCCCTCTCCCTTGGTCTCTTTATACTTTCCTCTTCCCTTTATCTTCCCCA